CAAAGCTAGCCAGATTGGACCGGAGTGCCAGCGGGGCCAGCGGCAAGCCTCTCCAGTGCAGCCAGCTGTCTTCGGTCAGCCTCTCAGTTCGTCGGCCTGCTGGTCCCCGGCGCCGTGCCTAGACCGGGCCCCGAGCCGAGCCCCGAGCCGAGCCCGGCCACAGAGTCACGACACCGCGTTACTCAGTGCATGGCTCGCTGCCCCCGCGGGCTCCGGGTGCCGTAACCCCACCAGCGCGATGACGGCACTCTTCACACCGCCGCCCGCACGTGTTCGTTCCACGTGATTTTTATTTAGCTCCGTATGTGTATGAATAACGCCCCTTGCGGGGTGGTTCGGCACGCATTTCGCGGTTCCGTCCCCCGCCTGTCTCCCGCGTGCAAGCAGCGCGTCCAGGACCTGCTCGGCTGGACGGGGCGGCCGGACCTCGGCCTACAGTCATCACGTGGTCGAACGGTGCGAGGAGAGAGAGAGGGGGGAGGGAGAGAGGGAAAGAGAGAGAGATGGAGAAAGGACGGGGGGCGAGAAGGTAAGAGAGAGGGGCGGGGAGGGAAGAGTTGTTTCCGGAAAGTAACAGTACATACCAGGGCAAGGTCTGGGCCGCGAGCCGGACGGCGTACAGAGCGAACGTAGACACGGACGGATGCTCCGTGCGGCGTTCTGTATCGCTCCAGGATGCCGACGGCTGACTGACGCGGACGGGATCGAGGAGGGCTCGACAGCGTACTTCCTTTATCCAACCTCACATTGTCAACCGTTTCCGCTGTCGGCAAGTTCGGAACGTGAGACGTGCACCCACCCATCATGGCCTGGTGACCCACCCGGTGGCGCCTTCGCTTTATGACCGTAGTCAGTTCCCCCTCCCCCGGTTAGGAACGTAGGTTGGGCCGCGTCCGGGGTCTATACAGTCGCCTCACTATAAGAAGTAACTTGAGCATTGCGCGTTAAGAAAATAGTCCCTACCATCGTGATGAACTAACTTCTAGTCCAGGGGTCTCAAACTCGAGCTATCCGCCGAGCCTCGTCTGCATAGGCCACACGCTCGGGGGCTCGGATCCATCCGAACGCAAGAGATGCGCGGCTCTCGGCGAGCCGCGCTAACGGGCTAGGCGAGCCGCGCTTGGCTCGCGAGCCGCGAGTTTGAGACCCCTGTTCTAGTCTAACCATCGCACGGCTGAAAACTAAATACTAAATAATTGACCAAACTTTATCGTTTAGCACTGGATGATTCCTGTTACAAGACAGTTACGTTTAGATACTTTAATAAGAATTTTTGCGTACAGCTATTGCTCCGCCAGGTTCCTCCTTATAGCGAGGCGACTGTAGGTCCAGGTCTAGGGCCTCGTGCGCGGGCAGAAGGCAGGAGCCGAGCCAAGGCTGAGCTGCGGTTCGGTGTTTGTTGCCGGGGCTCGGACGCGGGCGGCACTGATCCTGCCTCACGCCTGCTCCGCGGTGCACGCTTCCTTCCTGGTCAGAACCACGGCCAGCATCGGCGTGAGGAGGAAGTATATGCACAACGGCAGGTGTGGCGTTTCTGCCGCCGTGTACTCTGCCTTGGCGTCTGGCGTTAGAGAGGCGTGTCGCTGTGGTTCAGTCGGGGTCCGCGTGAGGGGGGCTCCCAGGAAGAGTACATCGCTATCTGTTGCCACAGAGTGAGGCGGGGGAGTGAGAGTTGGAGAGATAACCCTTTTCGGGAGAGAGTGAAGCCGAGGGGCAAAAGGGTTGGAATGCCGTCCACGTGACCACAGTCTGGTATACACAGGCGGGTGCGGGGGGAGCGGGCCCGGCTGCAGTCGGGTCAAGGACGAAGCCCACCTTCCATGAGCCCGGTCGAAGGGCGCAATTGAAACGAAAAGGTGGGCGTCGGGTCGGGCGGATACGGCACTATAGGAAGTAGTTGAAAGATGTGCGGGCAAGGAGGGTAGAGAGAGGTAGGCGAGTCAAGGAATTAGTAAATGGAATGCCGTGAAGCTTCAAAAGATGGATTAGCAAACATAACTATCACAGAGTGTACATTTACAGAGTGCATATGTGTGATCTCCGTGACAACATCATCTGCATCCCTTTTACGGCGCCCGCCTGACAGCCCTCAACAGTGGCGGATTAAGGTCCGGGGGGGGGGGGTGCACTGTCGGTTGCCTACATACAGGGGTTTTATGGAGCAAATTGCCTACCTTTCAGGCGGCTCTCTAGAGACGACAGGGGGGGCGATTGCCCCCCCCCCCACTCCGCGTCTGGCCCTCAACCAGGGAACTGTGTGACGGGGAGAACGAGCAGACGTTCATCGTGCAGGAGCACTCGACGACTCGACGCGCCTTGATCGGGATGAGCAGCAGCAGAAGTGCCTGGCTGGTCCGGAAGGCGATGTCCTTGGAGAGAAAGTAACACCCGTCCGCACCCGGGCCACGCCGAGAAGGTGATAGACCGGAGCCCCCCAGCCCCCCGTATGTAGGGCAGGTCAACCCGCGCACGCCAGCTCCTCACCACCTCGTTCAGCGCGTGATGTTTTCGAGTGTTGGTGCCAAAGTCGATCAAACAAAATACCGGGAGCAAATGACCGACCACAACCAGATGCAGCTGAGGCTTATATTCCTTGAAAATCGCAAGTTTATAAGCCACCATGCCTAATCAATGATTCCTGGCCGAAAAATTCCACAAAGAACCGCCAAGGGTTGTCAAGCGAATAATTTCCAGCGATTGTCGAGACACTGTATCGATCGGTAACAGTGGAAGAGAACGCTTTCGTGATTCTAAACATATGTCAGCATGAGCAGCATTTGCACGCTGCAGGCCCTGCCCCCCGCGGCAAACACGACATGCAGACGTTAAAGGTTTACGATTTGAAGCAACAGCAAACGTCCATGTCAAGTTATTATTCCTCTGACGGTAGTATTGTGGGTGGTCCCGAGGCAACCATGACGAGCCTCATGGG